GATGGATTGCGCCCGTGAATCTTTCGCATTTGCAACATATAAACCAAAATCAGAAAGGAAAGTTAAAAAGTTTGTTCATTCGTTATATAATAATGTTCAAAAATATGATAACTCAGTATGTGGTAAATATATTGACCCTTCAGAAGTTTTCAAGAAAGCAAATGAAGAAGTTGATGTCACTTTTGATATGATTATTCCGGTAAATGATTTGTTAGCATTTCAGGCGTTCGATGATTATCCCAAATCATTTGGTGAAATCATTTTGAAATATTATGTTTTCAGGGATACTTTGGTATTTTGTCAGGTTGACCCGTTAAGAGTTGCTGATTTACAAAATTACGTTTATGAAAAGATAACTGATGAAAATTATGAAAAGATTATGAATCATGTTTATAAATACGATCGCAAATTCCAACAAATCGGACTTCCTGCAAAATTAATTACAAGCTTAGCCGCTACATCTGCTGACGCAACAGTTGAAGACGTTATTATTTCATGCACAAAGATGGAAGTTTTAGAGGATAAATGCATTACACCAGGATACGGTTTAATTGAAGAATCAGTTAAAGCAATACCACGTTTATTCAGTAAGGAAGATCCATTCATGATTCCAGCTCAACATATTGACGTTCGTTCACTAAATGGAGGTTGCATCACTCCTGAAGGTATCAGTTCTGATTTCTCATACGCTCTTCATAATGTTACAGATGTTGTGTTAACATTTCCGAAGAATGCAATGCAAAGAACGGTTTTAGAAAATCCAATGCTTCGAGGTCTCAGGTCACTATAGATTCCAGAAACTTCCCCGATCAAGCGATGACCACAGTGGGTGACATATTCTTTACACGTATGCTTCAAGCTTCTGATTTAGATGGAGTGAATGAATGCACAGAAGAATACGAGGACTCATTAACTAGACCACTGAATGATGATAATGGCGCCATTAGCTAGAACATGGAAAGACCAAACTTCATTCTTATGCACTATTCCAGTTCAACGTGATGGAGCGGGTATATTCTTTGATGGATTAGAAACTTTCAACTCACAAGTTACAGTACAAGTGAAAGCTTATCCAATCATTCAGGGTGAAAATGACACTTACTGTTCAAAGGTGACAAATCCTCCTCAGGTTTGGTTTACTAGGACTACATATTGGACATGGACACCGGATGAAGGTTTGAAATATCATCCAACAGGTACACCACCACAGTATAGAAGTTCATATGATGAAATATTGATGAATAGAAATGTTTAAAATTATAAATTTATTTTTGATTAAATGGATTTCAATTCTGAAGAATTAGCAGGAGTATATAATACATACGTAGATGATATGATTAATGAAGCATTGAGTGATAATAGAAATGCTCTATCTAAGGAAAAATTAATGAAAATTCCATATTCTGAATGTTACTTAAATTCAATCACTGCAGCAATTGGTAAACAAAATAAAGGTAAAACATTAACGATATTAAAACAAATTATCATTATTGCTAACACTTCACCTTATTCTCATGTGTTAATTTATATCAACCGTTCAGGTTCACCTTCAGATGATACATTTGAATCATTAAAGCATTTAATAAAAATTCCAATTATTTATTTATCACAAGAAGAAGCAGAAGATTATTTAAAAAACTTTTTAATGTATAAAGAGTTATATAATACAATCAAGAAGCAAGGATTAGAGGATAAAATTATTGATAAACAACGGGATGAATTATTTGAAACACTTTCTATTTCAAATTTTGATAAAGAATTTTTGCATTCACTAATTTTTCTAGATGATGCCGTGAAATCAAAACTAATAACTAATGAGAAATCATATTTTAATCAATTATTAACTCAATGTCGACACATTCAGTGTTCATTCTTTATGGCTGTTCAATACTTTAAAGCATTAAGCACAAACATTAAATCAAACCTGTCCACCCTTTTCATTTTCAGTGGTTTTAGTCGTCAACAGTTGAACGTTATGCTTTATCAAGTGAATTTACCAATGAGCATTAATGAACTTTACACACAATATCAACAATTAGGAGAACATGGAAAAATAATAGTTGATTTAAATAAAGGTTCCATTAAATTCGAATAACTTTTTTATAATTAATTTTTATTTTTTATTTATAATTAAACATGACAGAAATTGCAAATCTTCTACAGGTTCCATTAAAACAAGGAACAAACAAAAAGGGTGCATATAATAGAACTATGAAAGTTCCAGACGGAATGAAAGAATTAGTCCACATTGTTGCCGGTCTTCAAAAGGATGTTAAACAAATGAGAAACGTTTTAACATTACCAGAAGCTCAAGCATATGCCAAACGTCATGGACCAAATTGGGAAGCACATGAAGCAGACATTACAGGACCAAATGGAAAGCCTGATGGAATAAATGAAGTCTTTGTTACTGATGGTCAAGGAAATATTAAAGTCATAAATGGGTATAAATTAACAATGACGGATTATCCTAAACGTAAAGCATATAATGAACGTTATCCTATGCAATTTGATGAAAATGGAAAAGCTGTTAAACAACATATCGGAGACAGTAAAGATGGACCAATTCTTTCATACCGTCATAATCCATATTCTTATTTCAATGAAGAATTAAACGCTATTGAAGAGGGACCGGATGGATTACCACGATATGTTAATCAGTTTGATGGTCAATATGCAAATTTAGACCTGAAATTCCAGCTAAGAAATTCTTTAAAGTTGCTTTATTCGATCCAGTGTTCAATGAACAGAAAGAAGCAATGAAAGCAGAATTTAAACCAATTCAAGTGGCAAGAATTTCTTCATCTTCACTTTCAGAAGCGTTCAAGGAATTGATAAAGAAACCACTTTATTCTCAACAAGGTTATAACTTTGATTTAATTAAAGAAAGTGATAGACGTAAATTAGAAAAATCGGATGGTTTTAAGAATGCATGTAATGAAATGATTAAAGATATTGTAAATGATAAAATAAGACTGGAAGAAACTCAAACCATTATCAATAACATAATTGGTGCAGTTACAAAGAAAGTATAAGCAAACAAGGATGAACCTTGGGATATTACCGTAACAACTAAATAAAACTTTAAATATATTTTTCTTTTTTTTATTCAATTATAAATGAGAAGACGTTTCACAAGTCAAAAGAACACAAACGCAAAAGCAGAGATTACGGTTGGTTATAATGTAAATGATGATAAATCACGAATTATTCAAAATGTTAAAGTTAATGTTAGTCCTGAATTAACAAGGTCAGCAACTCAACCAAATTTATTAACTCGTGACTTACCGAAAAAGAGGAGGAGCAAAATAAAGAAGATGGAGACCCAATCATTTTATCTGAACCGGTAAAGAACCTGTTGAAATTCCCACTTATCCAACATACCCAGCACCACTTGATAACCCATATAAAATAGACATTAATTCTGAATTAATGAAAATATATCGCGATATCATAACTGATAATTATGATTCAATAATAAATTTAATTGACCAATCCGGTTTAATTATTTTACCTTATGAATCATTAATTCACATTATCGCCATTCTTTGTGATGTTCAAGATTCAGACGTGAAGATTCAATTTTTCATAGATGATGAGGTTTCATGCTGCGGAACAGTTGCAAAAATAAATCCTATAAAGGATATTAGCACAATTAAGATATCAAAGAACGGAACAACAACTGAACTTCATTTAACATATAATGATATTTATAATAAAATAGTTGATGAATATAAAATATCACTTGAAAAATTCTTTGTTAAGGCTATTTAATATTCAAGCATTAACATTATCGAATAATAATCCTTTGAATCATAATCGATAATAATTGACCTTTCACCAGTTTCTATCGTTTGTTTTATTTCTTTTTGTTCCCCACTATCCGGATCAGTCATTGTAATTGTTTTTGTTATAGTATCTGCTTTATCTTTAACTTCAATCTTTTTTCCATCGGGATATTTAAACCAAAATTCCAAAAATTCGATATTGTCAATCTGTTCATATTTTAATCTATCAATTACATTTTTAATACCATCTGAAAATCTTATGAAATGGTCATTATATGGGTTTGATTGAACTAAATTTGAATGAAGTGAAATATAACCTGATGATGAATATGACATCGACTCATATTTTCTGAAAACACTAAAATTTATAACATGAATGAATTTCTTATTCGTTGAATTTATGAATTCTTGAGGTAATCTTATTCTAGTTTTATTTATCACTGGAAAATAACGCTTTACCATATTTTTAATCGTAATAAAAAAGTCAATTATCAATATTATTTCGAATAATAGTGTGAATTAAATTTAACAGTTAGTGGAATTTATAATGTTACTCTCGTTTCTGTGAGTGGTAAATTTAATCCCATTCTTTTAGACCCTTCAGATTATATATCATTTATTAAAGATGACCATGAAAAAACGTATGATATGTATATAAATAATGTGATAGTGAGGGATATTAACACAATTTTAAGTTATTTAAATGAATCATTTATCGTATGGTATGAAGAAAATTTTAAATCAAAACCTGATAAACTTTTTGAACTTGATGAAATAAATAACCTTATTAAATTTCCGCTGAAAATTAAATTTTGTACTCCTCGTCTTCGTTCATTGTTGGGGATATTAAATTTTGAAAAAGATGTTGGGGATGTTTTGTATTCTGACACTGGTTCCAATTTCATTTTAATCAAATGTGATAAAGTTAATACCCCAATGAGATTTTCACATCAAACATTAGACCCTAACTCTTACCCATCAATACAAAACATTTTATCCATCAACTTAAACATATTTTCTTTATCATATCCATTTCAATTATCCGGGAATTCATTTATTCTTCATTCAAAAGATTTATCAAATATTAAATTTAGAATAACTGACCTATTTGATTGTGATTTAGAATTTATGAATGAAATATTATGGCAATTTCAAATAGAAAAAATAGCTGATGAGATAACGGATTAAATATTTATTTTTAAATCGTAATAAATGATTAAACAACAGCAACCACAGACCATTACATACGCCACATATGCATATAATTCAAAGACGGCAGAACAAACGCAAAGGTTGAAATATGGAGATTTGGAGATAGTATTGAAAAATGACCATTTTGAATTCGTTTGCAAAGGTGGTGCGGTGATATCAAATATAAAAGAAATTTTATTTATGAATTCAAAAATTAAAGGTATAACGGATGATATAACATCAATTCCACCAGAAGAACAAAGATATTACGCATTAAATGCATTTCCTAAAGTTTTGAAGATTGGAAGATTTAATTTAAATGAGGAATTCATAAAAGGTTTCCTAAATGACATAATGAAGAAAGCAGATAAGGAATATGTGGATAGTGTGTTAGTGAAGAAGGCGGATAAGGAATATGTGGATGAAAAAGATAATGAAATATATGAAAAAATTAAAGAAATGGTTGAATGGTATCATGAACGGACATCAAAGATTTTAAAAACTAAAGCTGATACAGGATGGGTTTCAGGATGTTTAGACCTTAAAGCAGATAAAACTTATGTTAATGATGAGTTAAATAAGAAGGCAGATAAGGAATACGTTGATACCGAGTTAGCAAAGAAAGCTGATATATCATTTGTTAATGAAGAAATAAAACAATCGGAGGTCTATTTTACCCCACCATTTTTAAATTTTATGAAATCATCAGATAAAACATTTGAAGATATTGAATGGTTATGTTTCGATGGAGTGACCATGTATTTATTTTATACAGGCGGAGTGCTTTATTATTTTAAAACAAATGATTTTAAAAACTATGAATCATTTACTCCATCCGTTTTGAATCCTGATACACGAGAGCCAATCATTAATCCAAGAATTTTTTATGTTGAATATAATAACGGCAAATTTATGGGAATGATAACGGTTGGAGATGATTTTTGCCCTTGTTATTCATTCGATTGTATCCAATGGTTCAAATGTAATTTAAATCAAGATGTTAAATTTAAATATCCAAATAATCCTATTAGATGTGTTAATAATAAATGGGTACTAATTTATGAAGTCAATCAAATTTTCATTAGTGAGGATGGGATAAATTATTATATGTTTAGTATGATGTCATCAGATTTGAAAATTGATTATACAAGTAAATGGTATTACATTAACAACATGTGTTTTATCCTACAAAATGATAAAATTTATAGATCATATTCAATACCATTTGGTCGTTTTGAACAAATTTTTCAAGCTGATGGAGACATTGAAGCTTTATGTTATGCTTCAAATGTTTGTGTTCTTGTTTCAGGTAGTATGTTATTCATATCCTGTAAGTTATAACAGACATATTTATTTATCACAAGATTTTTCACAGGATCCAGAGAAAACACCAAATTGGGAATTGGTTTATTCATTCACTCCAAAATTTACTCGAAATTATAGATTTACAAATTTGTTTTATATTGATGGGTATTTCATTGCTTTTGGATGTGGTGATTTAGTAAATATCAGTAGTGATGGAAAAAATTGGTCTGAAATCACAAAATTTCAAGATGTTAAAAAAGCAATTTTCAAAAATAATATGTTAATATTGATGACAATACCAATTTTAACTTCTTACACGATTTCAATATTATATAATAAATTCAATATTCATAATGGATTAAATAAGAAAGCAGATAAGGAATGGGTTAATACTGAGTTAAAGAAGAAAGCAGATAAGGAATGGGTTAATACTGAGTTAAAGAAGAAAGCAGATAAGGAATGGGTTAATACTGAGTTAAAGAAGAAAGCAGATAAGGAATGGGTTAATACTGAGTTAAATACAATGTTTGAAATGATTTACCCCATTGGTTCAATATATACATCAATGAATTCAACAAATCCATCAACATTATTTGGATTTGGTACATGGCAGCAGATAACCGATCGTTTTTTATATTGTACAAACTCATCAAAACAAACCGGTGGAAGTAAAACAATTACGGGTGAAAATTTACCTGCTCACAGTCATTACGTTAATTTAAACACAACCGAAGCAGGATGGCATAAGCATAGATATTGGGATTGGTCAGGAATGACAAAAGGTAAAGGATATGATGTTAAAGATGACGTTAAATTTGCTATTAATTGTTACTGGAACGATACACAGGGTTCAGGTAATCATACACATAATGTTTCAGGATATACACAAACGACGGGACAGAGTAAAGATTACATGCCGCCTTATATGACAGTTTATGCATGGTTTCGGACGGATTGAAAGTCCCGAGCTCCAATTCAGCATACCTCATTAATGAAATTACAGAATTTTTGAATAAATGAGGGGCTACCATATGTGGAGGTGCACCAGGTAAACTAACTTCTTTTAAAAAATGAGACAACATGACATTTAGACAACAACACAGGAGGAAGGCAGTTATGAATTATTTTTGAAGAACTGTAGGTGCTACCATGTTGTCATGTTGACGACATGACATTGTGTCAACAACACAGGAGGAAGGCAGTTATGAATTATTTTTGAAGAACTGTAGGTGCTACCATGTTACCGGGTGCTACCAGGTAAACTAACTTCTTTTAAAAAATGAGACAACATGACATTTAGACAACAACACAGGAGGAAGGCAGTTATGAATTATTTTTGAAGAACTGTAGGTGCTGCCATGTTGTCATGTACTACCAGGTCAACTAACTTCTTTTAAAAAATGAGACAACATGACATTTAGACAACAACACAGGAAATAAATGTTTACGTAAATGTTTTGTCAAACATGAGTGTAAATGTTTTGTCAAACATGAGTGTAAATGTTTTGTCATGATGATTTCATCGTAAATGTTTTGTCAAACATGAGTGTAAATGTTTTGTCAAACATGAGTGTAAATGTTTTGTCATGACTTCTTCATCGTTAATGAGTGTAAATGATCCAAAAATAATGTTTACGTTAATGGTTTCCGGTTATTCAATAATTAATTATTTTTGAAGAACTGTAGGTGCTACCATGTTACCGGGTGCTACCAGGTAAACTAACTTCTTTTAAAAAATGAGACAACATGACATTTAGACAACAACATAGGAGGAAGGCAAAAATAAATTCAAATCATTTACTTAAAGCTTCATTTACAGGTATTTCATCGTCAGTAAATGAATCCTCATTATCGTTTAGTTCAACCTGTTTATATAATCCTTTCATTTCTTCTTTCAAAACATAACACCATGTTTGTTTATCGTCTATTCTTCTATGTTTCCTATCACATTTATCCTTAATGCTCATTTGAAAATTCTTGTCTTTCATGTCTGATGGTTTGCAGAATAGAGCATTTTTACACGTCATACCTGCACACAATTCATCATAATGTGTATTTATCCATACATCTAAAGGATTTGTTGATAATTCAATTAAATCTTGTTTGGCTTCAGTCATCGGTATGATTCGTACATTAAATGATGAAAGGTCGTAATTGATAAAATACGTCAGTAAATTATCATAAAATTCCTTAGTGCATGAATCCATTAAATTCTTGAAGTAATCAAATTGACCTTTGAATTTACCATTAACCCTTAAAACTACGTATCTTCTGTCTCCAACTTCAATTTTGACAGGGTAGACGTTATTAGTTACGAAAATGAAATTGGCAACATTCTGAGCAGTTCTTCTGGGTTGATTCTTTTCATTAATTCTAATCTCATTATCCGTTATAATTGATTTCAAAGCGTTGAAGTTTGCGAGTCTGTCTTCACCAACATTCTTGAGTTCATTAAGTACAAGAAACATTTTATTTTCAACTACTGAGTTGAAATTACCCGTTAACTCACTTATTTCAGTAATGTTTTTGCATGAATAACCAGCGAGAAGTTCAGAAATAATGTCTGTGAATCTGTTTTTACCTGTTCCCTGAAGTCCTTTCAAAATAATTGCTGTTTCATTCTTGATTCCAGGATGTTGAATCATTGATGCAATCCAGCCGAGTAGATATTTATACACTTCATCGTTATTATCACAAATGGCTTCATTAATGAAATTCATAAACATCTCAATTTTTGAGTAATCTGTTTTTTCGAGAATGTTGTATTTATAACCTTGAAACGTTGAGAAAACATCTGGGGAATCAGATTTAAAGCAAACACCCTTAACGGTTAATGAAGACAATTGATTTAATAGTACGTCCCATGCTGTTATTGTTTTACCTTCTTCTTTAAATAATTTAATCATTTTGAGTGACTCTTTCATGTTTGATTGAAGAACGAATGATATTTGATTCATTTTATCATGAATATTATAGTCTTTTTGAATGAAGTATTTGTTTCCACAATCTACAAAACGAATGACACGTGATAAATCCTCAATTACTTCAGAACTGTTTTTATACTGATGATTTTCAGCTTTACGTCTAATATCTGTTATCAAAAACGAGTCATCAAGTTTTATATCAAATGTTATTTTTGGCTTACGTAATAAAGGTAAAACATATTCATCATAATATTCCTTTTGATAAAGTTTTAGAATCTTTACCAAAACAAATGGAGAAGTCATTAAATGTGCATATCTATCACGTGCTTTTTCAAAATTACTTTTTGCATTTTCTGTTAAACTGCAGAAGTTATAAACGTTATCGTATGCTTCATTAATTAAATGATTAGGTAACGAATTAATAGCTTGAAACAGTGTGAATAATGTAACTTCTTTTTCTAAATTCATGTTTCCACCGTCATTATGTACTTCAAAATCACTGATGCCATCAACTATGCTCTGGGCAAGTTTATCGTCAATGTTTACATCTTTGTTTTCATTCATGATAGTCTTTATTTCTTCGTTCTTCTGTTCAACTCTTACCTTAATATTCAAATCATTTAATATATCATTCACTGTTCTGGTTAATGTTGAATCATAACTTCCACGAATGAATGAGTATGTATTGATTGGTTCTGATGCATTCTTGCGAACTCTTGAATCAGCCATAACCACTAATGAACGCTTTGAATCATCCATTGAAGTCATGATATCGATATCATAATCATTGCAGGAATAACATTTAATCATTCTGTTCGAGGTTGAATAGAAGAAATTAGTGTTGCAATAAATGTGAAGACCTCCTGAAGCGGTTTTAACGATAACATCTTTATCCGAAAGTTTTGATAAAATGTCTTTTCTAACTGTTTCTTTAAGTTCATCATTGTACGATTTATTGATATCAACATCTATAATCGTTAAATTTGAAATTTTATTTACTAATAAAGCCATACCAGTTTTCCTTCCTCTTCCTCCATCGTGTTTGAGGTAGTTATGTAAATCAATCTTGTTTTCACCAATTCTTTCGTTGAGGGTTTTAGTTTCTGCCACAACTAATTCCTCAACTAATGAATCAATAACTTTTTCATCAGAAACGATATAGGTGCTGTTGCTGTTTGTTGCTGTCATTTATATAGGAATAAAAAAATAAAAATAATTTTAAAACTAACCTTATTTTTGGGCTGTATCAAATTTCCTATGTTGTTGTCTAAATGTCATGTTGTCTCATTTTTTAAAAGAAGTTAGTTGACCTGGTAGCACATGGTAACATGGTAGCACCTACAGTTCTTCAAAAATAATTCATAACTGCCTTCCTCTCGTGTTGTTGACACAATGTCATGTCGTCAACATGACAACATGGTAGCACCTACAGTTCTTCAAAAATAATTCATAACTGCCTTCCTCCTATGTTGTTGTCTAAATGTCATGTTGTCTCATTTTTTAAAAGAAGTTAGTTGACCTGGTAGCACATGGTAACATGGTAGCACCTACAGTTCTTCAAAAATAATTCATAACTGCCTTCCTCTCGTGTTGTTGACACAATGTCATGTCGTCACATGACAACATGGTAGCACCTACAGTTCTTCAAAAATAATTCATAACTGCCTTCCTCCTATGTTGTTGTCTAAATGTCATGTTGTCTCATTTTTTAAAAGAAGTTAGTTGACCTGGTAGCACATGGTAACATGGTAGCACCTACAGTTCTTCAAAAATAATTCATAACTGCCTTCCTCTCGTGTTGTTGACACAATGTCATGTCGTCAACATGACAACATGGTAGCACCTACAGTTCTTCAAAAATAATTCATAACTGCCTTCCTCCTATGTTGTTGTCTAAATGTCATGTTGTCTCATTTTTTAAAAGAAGTTAGTTGACCTGGTAGCACATGGTAACATGGTAGCACCTACAGTTCTTCAAAAATAATTCATAACTGCCTTCCTCTCGTGTTGTTGACACAATGTCATGTCGTCAACATGACAACATGGTAGCACCTACAGTTCTTCAAAAATAATTCATGATAAAATAACGATAACATCAAATTTTTATTTTATCATAAATGAATACCCCACAAGCTCAAAATTTACCACGAATCATAACAAGGGAGGAAATGATAAAAATGATGCGAGAACTTGCTAAAAATAACAAACCACTAAAACTGAGAAAATGCGGTTATGCAGTAATGATGGAAAGAGAGATGTTGTCGAAGAGGAATAAAAATTAAATTTGGATTGAGTTTAAAAATTCATCTTTATTAAATTCATCTCTTCCAATCAATTTATTTATTCTATTAAATTCTTTTATTTTTGCTTCACTCAGTTTAAGGATTGAACGGTAAGTTTCTAATTTTTCGATTATTTCTTTATCGTTTTCAACCCCACCACATTGCGGCTTCTTTTTGTAATAACATATTTTTGATTTAATTCTGTTTAGTTTCTTTTTATATTCATCGTCTGGACTCTTGACTGCTTTGTTGTCACTCATTTCTTACGAAATAAAAAAATTAAATATTATTTAAATATAATGGAGTAATAAAATAAATCGGAATTTCTATTAATTTATTGTCAACTTCAACTAATACATTGCCGTTAATATATCTAACAAATTCAGCTATTGTGTCAAATCTTCGTCTTCTTTTTGTCATTGATTTATCAGTTTTTCCATAATCGAGATGAATCAAAACTTTATCCCCTTGTTTAAAATTCATGAGCCCCGAATTAATTTGTTCACGTTTAACATCATTCAACCTTTCCATTTGCTTTCTAATATATTCCCATTCTTTTGAAATATCATTTTTCATTTCCACTGGTTTCATGTTAATAGTTCTATGCCATGTATTATTGTAATAATATACTAACTGCTGTATGATGGAGTCATGATTTCCATCCCAGTATATCTGACCGTTAACCCCTAACGCATCTCTAAGAGTTCTCATTACCGCATCAACTATTTTATTATGAAACGTATATGGAGAGGATGAGAAGTAAAAATTAATTTGTGGGAAATAATGAGTCATAACTGCCTGAAATCCTTTATCACCATCACCCCTGATATTATCTACTCTTTCATGATCTAGTAAGTATTGTATAGCTCTTCTTGTTTCCTGTTCTGTTTTCCCTTTCACCGGAATGCAATATAAATATCTAGTGTTAATGTTAATGGCAAATAAATAAGTAATATTTCCTTTTGAATATTCCAGATGATCGATTTCGTATGAATATGGATATGGTGCAAATGATGGACGACTAAATTTTTCTTTTAATGGTTGAATTTTCGGGTCAATTGGTTTATTTAATATCTTGAAACCCTTTTTAAAATCTTTTTGTTTCTTTAATGTTTGAAATGGATATAATAAAGTGAATGATGAAGGATTAACTGAAGGAGGAGGAGGTACTACTGTTGGAGGTTTTGGTGTTGCAAGTGGTTTAATTTTATCTGCTTTGATTTTGGATTTCATTCCCCCCTTCATTAATTCTGGATGTATTCTATTCATTTGTTTTAAATATGCTGTATATAAAGGTTTGATATACTTTCCCGCTTCGAGTTTATGTTGAAGGATGAATTCCAAAAGTTGATCTTCATTTAAAAGTCGGGCTGAATGTGGTTTAACTAATGAATCATAAATTAAAGCTTGTGCATCATTTATGAGCTGCTGAACCTGGGTGTTTTGCACCTTTTGTTTTTGTTCCTTTTTTTTGTGGCTCAGGATTATATAATTTATATAATTCATCAATATCTTCTTCTGTTAATACTTTATTTTTGAAATCTTTCAACTGTTTAAGTTGTGATTTAGTTTTTCCCTTTGAATATTCATTATTTTTAATTTTGTCTTTAATTTCAGAAATTATTTTATTATGATATTTCAAAATTTCATTTTTATAATATGGATAATAATATTCCATATCATCACCCGTTATATTGTTATTATATTTTTGGAGATATGCTTTTAATTCATAATAATTAAGAAAATTTTGATTAAATACTAAATCATCAATTAAATTTTTAAATCTACGCTATTCATTTATATAAAAATAAAATAAGTGTTTTAAATAAATGGCATACAACATCCATTTTCACAACATACAGCCTTAGTGTGTGCTCCTGTTAATGCAGTCTTACCAATTGTTAAGCGAGTCATTGACCCATTTTTAAGTTGTAAATTAATATTTTGACCATCAAATATCACTTTATCATTTATTATATCCAAATAATTTTTAGGTGTTAATTGCTTATTTTGTCGTAAACTAACACCTTTCATTTTTTGTGCAATCTTTTTGAAGGAGTCTTCACCAATCATTCCGTTGAATGATGTATAACACTTAGGCATAAAGCAACCATGTTATCACCTTGTTTCTCAATTGCTAAACCCAATAACTTCTTCTCATGTGCTTTTTCTTCAGCTTTATTCTTTAATTTAGGTTTAAATTTCTCATCAAAACAGAAGAAATCAAATGGTGCGAATTTGAAAATGTTTTTATCATAAAATTGTTTATCGGTAACAATTGCTTGAAATGCTTGAGTGTTAGGAAGATTTGGTCGCCAGCGATTGCCCAATAAGATGAATCAGTATCACCTTCAATGAAATGAAAACGATTAACATTCATGCATTTATACATAAAATCATAAATGAAAACCAAATACCAGTATTTGCATTATCTAAAGTGAAGAATGCCTCTTGTAAACATGTTTCACATCTATAAAATCTATCTTTAAGCATCAGTTGATATGTATCCTCACCTATTTCTCTTATGTTTTTAAACTTATTTGACATACATGCAACGCGTGACTTCTGTGCATTCATTATTTTAGTCTTTGCGTAATTTTGTGTATTCATTGCATCGTAACCATATGATCCATTAAGCGAAATCTTGCAAAATAAACTTTTTCCTTTATTTCCTTCTAATTCAGCCTTTTGTCTTTCGTTCATAAATTTGTTCGCAAATTCATTAAAACAAGTGTTTTTCGTAAATGTTAAAATTGATTGAATGTCATCAATGATAAAATGAAATCTGTCGATTAGATACCAAAGATAATAAGAAGAAAATGGTTGATATTGGTTGTGTGTTGATGCTAACTGAGTTAATTTTCTCTGTTTCTGGTCAACTGGTAGATTGTTTGATTTCATGTAATTATACATAAAACCGCCAATTGTTTTTTCATCTGTGATAATATCTAAGTTTCTTATTATCGGTAAAAAGTTTATGTAATCATTAATGTATTTTTCATCAATGTGACCCTTTACTTCAGCCACGAATAAAGTATTTTTCTTTCTAATAATTCCTAAAGCTTTTGCTTTCTTTGTTGCTGTATCACAAATGATAACACCATTCAATCTTCCCGGCATATACATTTTATGGTCAGTATATTGAATGAAATCATGAGGATTTGATGAAAATGATGAAGGATATAATGAATTGAAATCAACACCAACGAAATGAGTCATGATGTTGGAAGTGTCCTCATTTGATACTGTTTTAGTTTCTGGACTATATGAAAGTTTATTAATGTGCGTGATTCCTTTAAGATTTACTCTATGTTGAACATTTGATAGACCACCAGTAATTCCATTACGGAGGATGTGATACGCTTCCACTGAATCTAAAGTCATTGGTAAATTATTTTTTAATGCATAATTTCTTAAATTGATTCTTAAACGTTGAACATCTTCATC